TCTTCTCTCATTTGGTCTCATTTCTTCCTCCTTCTGCCTACCATTAGTTTGTTCTCTTTCCTCCCTTTTCTCCCCCTTGTTATTTCAGGTCCTCTCTATTTTAGTCCAAAATGTAGTAAACACTTTCATCGGCTGTATCACAATACAAGAGACTGCACCATCCCAGCATGTAAGTGACACCAATCAAGGCTAACTCATTTAAGAAACAGAGTGAGGTGTTTGTTTGTTGTTTGAGTGGAGCGACTCTAAACAATTCTAGGAAATAATAGTTGTAATATTATGCCACTGCAATCCCTTTCTGTTAGAGTTCAGTGTTTATGGATATTAAGTAAGTATACATCCTGCTTGAAAGATAGGATAGTATTATCATTCCATTTTTACAGATGGGGAAGCCAAAGCAAGGTGTTTCCAGCGTATGATGAAAGTAAAAAGTTCCTTGAAATACCAAATTTGTTCTCTCCCACTGGCTCCAAATCTACTATGCTAACTTTACATGGAAAATGCATTTAATGGCTTGTGCCGAAAACTCAACCAAGACTCTGAAAACCAAGTGAAACTATTTCCATTTCACGTACCATTGCTTATAGTGCAGCCTTTATAGGCAAATGATAGCCTCTTATGTTTTGGCAACCCATCTGTTTCCTAGTAATGCATTCAGTTGGTTTACATAAGTGTAACATACTGGAAATTAGTTAATAAAAAAATCAAATGATGGACACAGGTGAACCACACCTGGCTCTCAGCATCCCAGCAATGTTGGTAGTGCAGTGGTAGAAGAAACAACAAAAAGAGTAAGATTTTTCTTCTTAAATTCTTGGTCAGCTGATATGACTCTACATATGAGGGGCAGACCTGTTGAGTAAAAAGATGCTATTTTTGCCCACTCTTTCAGAACAAAAGTAAACATTATTCTACTTTTCCAAGCTCAGCTAGTCAGTCAAGTGCGGGACTGGAAATAGAACCAAGAATTCCTGACTCACATTTTAAGAATGTTTTTTGCCCACGATCTGCTCTGCACATTTTGAAGTCATATTTATTAAGCCTATGCTTTTTTACTTACTTGCATGACATAAGATTGGATGTCTTGGAAAGCCAGGAAGAAGTTTCTAAAACTGGGTGTCCAACTAGCAGCCCATGAAGGGTTAATGTGCAGCTCCAGACTCATCTGGCTACTGCTACCCTCTCCTCCCCACAATATTGCTTTGGCTACAGCAACAGAGTCTCCAGGATCCTTGCTTCTCTGGTTGCTGCTTCCTGCCTTTGCCCCAGGAGGCAGGGTAGCACAGCAGGGCAGAGCTGAGGGTTAGTCTGGGACTACAGTGGGGCCCAGTGGCGGGAAAGAGAAGCATCTGTGTGGTATGTAGATACTTGGTCACTAGGGACTTAGAAGTTGGCAGACCTGACATAAATAGATACATATACTGAAAAATAAGCCCTAGCACTAGAATAAAACCTGACCATGTTCAGCCTATACTCATAGTGATGGAAAGTTTAGTAACTGAAAGCCATTCACCAGCTTATTTTACAGAATACCTGCAGTCTGCTGCCACAGTAAGGGAAAAGTCTATCTTCTGTCACTAAACGATGACAAAAAAACCAACATCATATTCAGCACTAATTGGAATGAGCAACAAAGAAGCTAGGGAACAAGCTTAAATTAGACTTTTCCCCAATGGTAGTATCACACTGCTGGAGCAAGGGCAGATACTTTGCACTGGTGTTACCTGTACTGTATCCATCTTGTGCGTCAGCTTGCAGTTTCTAGGGATGTCAGTATGACATCTTGCACAAGCTGAAGATTTAATTAAACACGAATAAAATAACCAATGGTATAACTGATAATGCATTTGCAGATAGAATATTGGATACACATATTCCTTAAAGAAATTGTTGTGGGATTTTGAAATGTGTACCATGCTTTAATTATCCATGCACAAGAGCCTGAGCTTGGTACTCAGTACTGGATTTCTGCTAATATTTTGATTTCAGGTTACAATTCACCAGTTCATTCTGTGCAGCCATTCAAAAAGAAAATATAAAACACCTGCAGTCTGCTGCCACAGCAAGGGAAAAGCCTGTCTTCTGTCACTACAAAAGCAGTGTCCAGCACGTTTCCTAGTGCTTTCTATAATTTAACAGCATGCTAGATCTTAGTACTTAAATTTTGTTACCAAGAAGTGTCAATCCTTGAACAATAATCTAGATTGCTAACTGTAGGACTGGAGAGAGGCTTTAAGTGAACATGTGACCAAGCTTTGACCAGTTTCTTTTCAATCTGTCCTGCACGCAAAATAGGTTACCCTGCTTAACTTTGTAACCTTGACTGCCATCTGTTTCACTGTTACCTACTCTTTATTCATCCCACTAATTAGTATGTACACGTGAAGATGATGGCTAATCTTCAGAGAAGAGAGGCTTTGGAACAGCCTGTTATTAAAAGCAAGGAGAGCAAAAATCTAACCAGTTCTAAAATGGAACTAAATAAATGTGATCCAGATAATGACATGGCTGCTTGAAATTGTAGGAGACTAGATCATGACCCAGGAAGCCCCTTCTAGCCCTGTATTTTGATGATGGTAAAAAAACATTAAGAATAAAATGTAGGAAATCATCGTGCATTGGCATTGGGGAATAAGTATGACATAACAGGTCTTTTCTTCTATACTTCTCTGCATAGGAATGCACTATTTATCTGGTTTTCAGATTAACTCATTGAGAGTTAGATTTCAAAGATGGATGTAAACAAATTGCACATGCAAGTTTAATTTCTACTTGTTCAGATCTAGCATTTGGCACAGGCATGGCTACTTAGAGATAGTTTTTATGCACACAGTCTGCAGGCAGTTGGACCATTTGTTCATAGAAATTAGGTACACAGATTATGCACTCATCTTTGAAAAAAAATGGCTTTTCATCACCTTACAGTATGTTTTCAGGCATATGGGGCCAATTTCTACCCTGTTATAAAATAAGTCTTTAGTTCAAGGCAGTGATTTAAAATTAATAGTTATAATAGTTTGCACATCACCTTTTTACTTTTAAAAACAGAATTAATTACATCAGCAGTGTCAACTTACTGTATTTATGATCTTTTCTCACGGCAGACTATAAAAGATGCGCCAGGCTTCTTACTCGGTTGGCAGTAAGTCCAATGTGCATGGAAGGATAAGGTAAGCTTTTTGACAGAGGTAATAACATTCTACTGCATAGCAAAATGGTGGATTTTGCATTGAAGACAAAAAATATTCATGAGAGTGTATAAACAATCATCCTTAGGCTAAGGTATTCCCCTTTCAGTGTGTTTGACGCAATTGTCTTAATCTGGCAAAATACTGGCTATAAATAAGGAGTACCCCCTACTGGAAGGCATTATAAAGACCCATAGACATCAGCTGTGAATTATTCATAGCAGGATGCAGTTAGCAGATAGTGAATTTGTTTTTACAGAACAAAGCCTAACAGCTGTAGCTAATTTTTCTTCAAGAGTTGACTCAGTATACAATTGTATGTATTGTCACTGGCTTCTCTTTTGTTTTCAGCTGTAGAATTATTGTGTACTCTTTAAATATGGATTAATATATACATAACTATACACTTATATATATTTTTAAAGGTAGGTGCCATAGGTGCTCCTAAGATAATTCATTGTGTTATCACTGTAGTGGTAACATTGATAAATCAAACTAAGTAGATTATTCAGCTGTCTTTAGATTTCAGGTGTTCATCCAAGGGGTTGGTTTTTCTTGTTGCACCTGCTTAAGTCTTATAATTATGGCAGCTTCATATGCATAATAAATGAAGAATGTATTCCCAAAATATTTATACCTCTAAAAGCTGACATGCATCACAACATCTATTCTGCTCCCATCTACCCTCAGTTGAGACAAAAATACATTTATGTAGTCTTTTATATGAGAATTTTAAAATGATCTTAGAGAAATTATCAGTTTTAGGTTTTACCACAGGTATTTATTAACCAGTGAAAGCCACCAAATGAAATGTTTAGTTCAGAATTCTGACTTTACATTAAAGCATTACAAGCTTTTTCTTTGCATTTTTATGTCACTGTTTTTTGTATGGGGGAAAAATAGTTTTAAAGTACACCCAAACTAATCCAAATTTGGCTCTGGAGGTTTTTGAAGCCTATTGCCTACAAAGATTAACTTCTATTCGGCAAGTATTACTATGAGCAAAGTAAATATCCATGGAGGCAACTCTGTAATCCAGACTTTGGCTGTTTAGGGAAGCTGTCAGAGAATCTACTTTTTTAAAACTTAACATTAGGCAGTGGCAATGAGCTCCTTGTTCTAGCTGCGTGATTTCCACGGCTGTGTCTAAACAGGGATGTGCGCTTGCAGCGGCACAAATTTGTGCTGCTACTTTGGGCCTCAGTCCATGCCCCTGCAGGTGGACTTTGCTGAGGGACAAGTTGTCCCACTGTCGGCAAACTGCCCTTGCCAAGCTCCTCTTGGCTTTTCAGCCAGGGAGAGCTGAAGGCAGGGGCTGGCACAGGTGCTGGCCCTAGCAGTATAAACTAGTGGCATGCTGGAGCAGCAGGGGCACAACTTGGTAAGCATGGAGACTTGGCCAACAGCCAGAGCTTTGCTTTGGAGGGCCAGGCCTCCATTTGTGCCAGTGCAGGCTTCTTTGTGTACTTTTTGCCACTCTTTTTTCTGGGTTTTTTTTGCTACTGGGAAATCCTGGTAGCAAGTTTTGCCACCTCGCTGCGTGGCACATGTTTTAATTGTTCACCATGTGCAGCTTGTGGCACCACAAACTGCATGCTCCTGCTCAGCTGTATGCAGAGCACAGGTCTAGAGTGCAATCCAGGAAGTAATCTATTAGTAGGATCATATTATCCCTATACTCTACTGCAAAGAACAGGTAAAGTGTTCGGGCAATTACCAGCTAAACATGATTCATAATCATATACATGGGATCACAGTTCCCTTTCACCTTTTTGCTAGAAAGCCTCTCTGCATCAACACTTCCCAATAGGAGTTTGATTTCTCATGGTAAGAAGAAACAAAGGGCAGTTCCTTTAGGTGGCACTGTCTGCTCTGAAACTAGGAGACTGGTGAAGGAAATCCATTTCACAGGGCTCATAGCCTCCAGGTCTCCTTGGAAG